GGGGGGGTTATAACCTCCTAACCCCCCCCCTGTGTGCGCCACTGAATTAAATTATCTATATATTATATTCATTATCCATTAATATTTACCACCAGACGTGGCTGATTAATTATTAATTTTTTTTTTTATCACGAATTGTCATTATTTTAAAAATTACAAATGTTTTTGAAAATATATTTTTTTTTCATTGTCTCAAGTCGTTACAAAACAACGTTTTAATTGATTTTAGGACAAGTAATCAATGAGTTATAGTATAGTGTTAAAATTTGGAAAAACGGGGTAATGAACTAATATTTTGCAGAATAACCGCGTACCACTATAAACGAATACTTTGGTAAATGCTAAATACTTCAAATACTTCAAATTCATAAACTACTCTTCGTAATTCGATTTTTATGAATTGAAATACTCAAAAAAATATTTTGTTTTCGAAAATGAAATTCAAACAGTATGCTAATTTTCAAAAAGTAAAAAAAAGTAATAAAAATAATCATAATAACAACCAAATAACCATAATATACCAAAAAGACTCTTTTTTGTTATTTCAATGGCTAAGCTAATTTAATTTCCAGGCGTAGGTATGAATCAAGACGAGACATAGTTGAACTATAACTGCTCAATAACTAAGTAGGTATATCTACAATATCTTGTATGGTAATATCGATTAAAAGTTTCGGCAAAAGTAACAATAAAAATCTGAGAAAATATACTTGATGTTTTGCTTGTAGTTTAACTGCCCAAAAACATAGTTTTGACTCTAACTCAGTATAACGTTTTTTAATTCAGTTCAATACGGCGAGAGCTTTTCATTTGAGACTGAGAGCGAAATATTTTGAACAGATTAATCATTTATTTGAACTACCCAGTCTTAAAAGTTGATTGTTCAATCACATAGCACACTATGGTTAACAATAAATAAACACAAATTAAATTATTATTGTACAATTTATCATATGGCAGCCACCATGTGATTTTTTAAGTTTTTTTTTTATAAATATCTTATAATTAAATCATTACTCATAATAATATAATAATATTACACAACAGACTGCATGATAAAATTAATATGATTTAAAAGAATATTTTTAAAATCGTATTAAAAATTTCATTATTCAAAAACTTAAGGATATGATTGCATATAAGCAGTACGCCAATGTAAAAAAATACAGTGTTGTCAAAATTCGATCAATCCAAACTAGTCTGAAAAAAAAATACAAGAATTTTAGGTTTTTGTTTAGGCATACATTATTTTGTAATTGAAACTGACTTTTTCAATTTTTTCCTCGCCTCGGTTATTTTATTGGGATTGGTATTGAACAAATATTTTTGCGTTCCAGTAAGGCAAGTTATAAACGTATCTTCTACATTGATATGATCGAATTTGAAATCAAAATCGCCTTTTTCGTTATCCGGGATATGAGTGATCAGACTTAAGAAACTCGTATTTTTGAACGTCCATGATTGCAAAGTGAAAGACGATAACGCCATTGTCGCTAAATAAATTTTTCGTTGCAATTTTACAAAGTAACTGAAAGCAAGTATAACATTTTATGATTAGTGTTTGGAAATATTATAAAATATAAATCATTATTAATGGAAATATAAGATGAATAGTAAATGAATAATGATTTGATTTCAATTGTAAATCAAATAATATAATGTCTATCAAAAAAAATCTGAATATAAAATATAAAATATAAATATAAAATCTAGTGAATAATTATATTAAATTTTGAAAAGTAATTTATTTTCAAATACAAATTAGTCTAACACATATTAATAAAACCTTTTCAAATACTGTAAACAATAAAAAATGCAACGCAATTCTTTTTATTCATAGATAATAATATAGTAATTATAATATTATTAAAGGCACGTGTTCTGTTTTTTTTTTGCTCAAAAACTCATGAGAAAAACTTTCACATCTAGTATATAGTCGTCAAGTGGTTCGATTACGATAATTTTTTTTTTGATATGAAAAACACTTATTACAGAGCTAATTTTACTTGACTGTTTTTAAAGCGCTTCTTTTTTTTCTATAATTTATGAAATCAAAATTAAAATTTATTGTGATATGTAGAAAACCATATTATTGCTAACAATAAATTAATTAATTAAGACAATTTATAACAATTTTTCCTATATATTCCAAAAAAAACCACTCTTTTAAGTTTTGTCGGTGCTGCTATTGACATGTGCGCACATGTAATGTCTGCATTGATTATCGATTCCTAAATTTACATTTAATAATTTGCATAGACATAAGCATTCATGTACTATAAAATGCCTATGCTGCAAAATTAAGGCACAATTTTTTTTCAATATACATTTTTATAACTATTTATATTTTAGAAGTTTTTTCGATGCTTAAAGAGATTAAACATGATATTCTATTTTAGATAATATTTATTGTGTTGATATAAGTTACTTGATGATACGAAATAGTATAAAACACGTTAATAAAGCTCACTCTGTCAGTGTATTGAATATGTATATAATATATATATATATATATATATATATATAGAAACCTATTGCCAGTTTCTAAACGTAAATACAACGCAATAATTTATAATTCCATATCATAGAATTTATGTACAGTAACTACGGATAATAAACATCCTAAATCGTAACTATGTAATGATAATTAACAGACAGATGGACATTGAGTGGATATATGATGTTATAAACATATTTAAAAACTTAAAATCATAGGAAATTTATGATTCAAATTTAGTCAACTATGTAAAAACAGTTTTCAGTGCCTATTTATTTTTACTGTTTAGCTTAAATAGCATTATATTTCATATTCATATTCCATTTTTACACTGGTGTAACCAAGACCAATATTTTACGAAAGATTTTTTTTTTTACTATGAAACCTATAAATTTTTTTTTCTAATAATTTTGCTTTAACACAATGGAAAATACTTAGATTAATTATCGGCATACTATAATTCTCAAAATATTATTGTTATTTTTCAGCTATCCACAGCCTACCGTTCAAAAATCAAAAGGATTTGAAATTTGAAATTTTTTCTATAAATGTTAAAATCTTTAGATCTTTCTTAGACGAGGGGAGGTGGAGTGGTGCCGGTGGTGGTAAGTGTATTGGCTCCCTTACACATTCGTATTTATGCAAAAATTATATTTTTAAATGATTTGGATATTTAAAATAATTATATGTTATCACGTGATTCTATTTTGCATTTGATATTATATTAATATAACTGACAGTTAAAGAAGAAAAATGATTTTCAGGTTTTTAACTGATAGCTACTATATCAAGTGTAAATGCGATCAAGCATATATAATGTATAATATATTTATAGTATAATCTAACTAGTCCCATAAAAAATAAATTAAAATCGGATTAACATCAGCCAGGGAAAATAGGACAAATGCGACCAAAATAATTATCTTCACCTACTATTATAATATATGACGTATTTGTTTATTAAGAGCGTAAATGCATAATAATATTATTGCCTATTTGTCGTTTGAACTATAACTCCTCGTAGGTAGGGTATCTAACTGTCACTAACGCTCATTACATTTGTATTAATTATATTGAACGGTTAAGTTATGGTAATTTTATTATTTTTCGTTTTTGAATTTATGACGTTTAACGACATATGGATATTCCAACGGCACAATATGAATATCGAGGTTATAAATTATAATATGACTATTTTATACTATTAATATACGCGTAAAGCATGGGTATTATACGTAGTCATAAAATAATACATTTCAATAATATAATGATATGAGTAATATGACATTAGGATAAAACATTAATTAGATATTATCGATCTGTGAATTTAATGTGCGTATTAAAAAACCATAAAACATATGCATTTGAAATTTTAAAAAAATGCAGTATAAAATGTATATTCCAAAAAACAATTTAAAAATCACGACAGAAAATTTATGAAATTGTATCGAGTTTCTTTGAAAATAAATTAACTATGCTTTTAATTAATTAAAAAAATTTAAACAAAAATTAAAATGTATTTATAATGTATGTAAGAATTTTTATCTGACAGACATTACTAATAAAAAAATAGATTTCAGAAATGAAAAAAGAAAATATGAACTAAAAATTACAAACAAATACTACCTTAAAAACCTAAAGTACAAAAAGTGCAAAATAATTTAAAATAAAATTTAAAATTACTTAATTCATCGCAACCTAATTCGAGCAATCATGTACTAGTCAATTTATGAGGAGAATTGTTTTGATTAAAGTTTGAAAAAAGAAAATGATATCTCCACCCTTAAATAGTAGAAAAAGACTCAAGAATTTAAAAATATAGTCTGAAAGTAAATTTTAAAATTTCAAAATTCAGATTTTTAATAACTGCAGAGTTATTGAAGATGAAAACGGTGGTGACTATGATTGATGAATCAATGCATAGTGACCATACTGAGTGCAATTTATTAAAGCCTTATACAATTTAATATTAAATTTAAGAATGATAAAAATTTTATTAACTGTTTATTACTATATGCTCGTCAATAACATGATAAATCATTAATACTTATAATAATAAATTAGTTCAAAACTGCTTTTTCTATTTTGTGTGCATCCACCGTAGATGAGGTACTCATAATATATAAGAATACTTTGTGATTATTTGTAACGTAATAAGTAATAACTATTTCAATTGATAGTACTAAAATTAATTTGAAATATGATAATCAAATGTGTTTAATTTTTGGACATATTTGTGAAATTTGATTGAATCAAAAACATTTTATACAAATTTGTAACTTACATTTTTTGTGGTATTCCAGTAATCTTCAATACAAAATCGATGAGTATAGCCGGAAAAACTTGCTGGATAATGGTAAGATAGTAAAAAATCCGTTTGGAAGCCGTAATAAAAATTTTCGGCCTCCATAAAATTTCATCGAACGGATGCAACAAAAAATACTTTACTGCAAATTGCATAATTTGGTTGTTGGTAATTGACTTCTTAACCGTAGAACAGTTGTACACCGTCAGTGGATTGTCCGACGACAAGCTAAATGCACAAAATCATAGTAAAAAAATTAAACACAAAGACAAGCAATATGATATTGCCAATATCTATTATGGTAGTATGATCAAAAAACTATTTAACCACCTGTGATTTAACACCTCCAAATAATGGACTTTTTTTGAGAACAAACTATACAGACTATGCAGGCTGCCTAGTATACAAACTGAACCCTCCTAAATAAATTTCAGTGATTGAGAGTGGAAGGTTTCTATAATTTAGAGGTTTCACCGCAATAAGTATTTAAAGTATTGATGAGCAAAGAATTAGAATGTTAGATACACATTTTGTAGATTATATACTCGTACTTATGTGTTCTGTACTACTCCATTCATCTATTTATCATAACTTTAACAACTGTTTGTATGCAAACACAATTTTATCTTAAAGCAAAATATATATTTAAGAATTTCGACGTATTATAATCAAATTTCAAACGAGTTGTTATTACAACTTTAAAATGTTTAAATACTTAAATATAGGTACCTAACTCTACTTCACCACATTCACCACTCATAAAAACTTTAAAGTGTAAATACTTAAAAAGTTGTAACTAATATTAAAAACTCGTTTGAAATTTGATTTTAAATTCTGAGCAAAGAGCAGAGAAATGAATGTGTGATAATGATTTCAACCAAAGGTTTAACAATTATGTTGAATTCGTTTTTTTGTTTGATTCAATGTATTGCAGCAATTCTTATTCTACTACCTATTTAATATTGATTCGTCTTTTATATTTGTAATGTTTGTGGGCCACATGCCAGTTGTTATATTTATTACAATAAGTTTTTGTTTCTATTTTTTAAATAATATTTTTTTCCATTCTAATATACAGATAATTTTTATTTGTTTTTTTTTTTGTCGATGTACTAATATTTGAATTTTTTCCTAACGATTCGTTAAAAAGAAACTGATAGGGTAATATTATGATTTAATTTTCTATCCACCTTATTATTATGTTATTTTCGGGATAAGTTTTACATATAACTGATGGCTTCTTAACAACGTAAGTAACTCAAATTTATATTTTTCTTCCACTTCTATCACAAATTGTAATTATTCTTACTGCATGGCTTGTACCTAGATATACCATATATTTGTAATAACTTAAAAAAATTCTTATGATGCATGTAAACATTGTAAACCCCAAACATGTCCTAATAATGTTATTTTAACCACGTTTTCTATTATTTATTTAACGCAATATACACTTATTATTTCAAAAAATTATTTATGTTTTTACATAAAATTAATAAATTAAGTCATTAAAACAAAATGTTTCACGATTTTTTTATCATTATAATTAAATTAAATTAATTTTTGTAACAACATGCATTTATAACTCCTTATTCCAAAACAGAATTTGGTTTTAAAAGTACCTACTTCAGTTTACAAAAATCGAACTTTAGACAGTAATTTATGAGTTATAAGTATATTTAATATTTAAATGAATGAAGTGGAACCTAACCGATAAATTGTATTKTCCCACTAATTATATTCCTCTCATCAACACTTTAAATACCAATTTATTTATAACTAATAAATGACTATTCCGAAATTTAACTTTTAGAAGTCAAAATGAATTGAATATTATTTGGAAAGTAGAATTATAAAAGGTTAACACACTATAGGTGTCATAAAGATGTGAAAATAAAAAATGAAAAATGAATACAAGTTATATAATGTATGAAAAAAAATACAAAATTATAAAGATAATAAATGATATTAAATGTTTGAAAATTCACAAAAAAAAATATTTTGAAAATTTATATAATTTAATAAATTAATTTAACTAAATAAGACGTTTTTACATAATTATAATTTTCCTAAATTGGTTTACGAATTGGCTATAATAGGCCTTACAAACAGCTAATCTACGGTATTTTATTGGCCAAATAAGCCCTTCTAATATGTACCACATGTGAAACCTAAATCTCCATAAAACACATATTAACAGATTGTCGCAAACATAGGTTAGGTAGATTTGGACGAAAGAAAATAATTGTTATAAAAAAAAAATGAATTGCCATCGGTCATAACTTACTCATATATTTTAATATGTAATACTTTTTCTGCGTACAAATTGTACGTCTTAAAAGCTGGTTTTCCTATAAAGTTTTTGTCATTTGAAATTAAATCGATTGTCGAGAAGTATTTAGCTGTACACCGTTTAGTAAACGGTTTTTTTCTAGACTATAGAAAAACACCACAGTTCACTGATATGTGTGTTTTATACACCTCTTTACTACATTTTACTTTCGATGGAGACTTAATTATGCAATGCTTTGGAAAAATATTGATTTTGTAAAAAGTACCTGCTGCAGAGACATAACCTTTCACGATTGGTCGACTTGTGTGTGGTACATAAATAAATAATATTATAATAGTTATATCGTGACTGTGGTTATATATATATATATTATATTTTTGTATTAATCCACATTTCAGATGTCTGCCAATTACCAATATTATTAATGATTTAATATTATATTAATATCTATAATTGTTTTATTTTTGTTGTATACAAATATAAACAGGCGCAGCCATTTCGCTCAAAATCAAACTTTCCCGTTTCGCCCAGATACCCGTTTTGACCAAAGCCATTTTAGTCGTTTTCGAATTGGTTAGGTTAGGTTGTCCATACGCATAAGTAATAAAACTCTAAAATAGGAGTAAAGAAAAACAAGTAACACTTGGTTAAAAAAATGAATTAAATATAGTAAAATATATCAAAAAATAAATAATAAAAAAAAAAGGTAAAATACTGATTGTTAGCTACGACAACGACAATAAGCGAAGTGAATCGAATAGCCAGGCTCTCGTCGCAGACATCGCCTTAATGTAAGTCGTTATAATTTTGATGAATCGGCTTGATTGACATCTGCTTCGTATATATTCGCTATTCTAATATTTTATAATTTTGTTATATATATATTATGGGCGGCACCCGTTTCGCTCAAAATCAACCCTTCCCGTTTCGCCCAGATACCCGTTTCGACCAAAGCCATTTTAGTTATTTTCAAATTAAGTTGGCAATGATTTTTAAATAATATAGTATAAATAGTATACCATATAATATTATATATTATGTAATATTAACTATTTAAAAAAAAGCATTACACAATATAATATATTACTATTTTCTAATAAGTTAAGTTAATTTAAAGAATTATTTTAAAATAATATTTGAGTTTCATTTATCTTTATCCAAGGAAAAACCAACGATGGTATGAAATTCAATATTTATCATGGTAGATTATTGTATTACCCGTAGTTGTCGCGATCACATATTATCCTATCTTCCGATAATATATTATACGCACCTTTTTATATCACTTTCAAATTAATAACATGTTAGTCGACTAAAGGTCTTTCCACATTAATATAACAGTTATCTACATGACGTATAAGTTAGCAGTCGCTAGTAATCGAGCTTAAACAAGAATACAACGAAAAACGTAAACTTTTATATAGATCTGGCGAAATTATTATATAGGTGCGAATTTGTAAAAAGCATATTGTGTAGAAATCTAAAAAAATAATGGTTTTTGTAAATGTATTTTGATAACTTAACTTAATTTTTATAAAAATGCCTGTACCTATTGTATGTAAAATATATAAATAATTGATTATTGAATATAACTTACTTTTAGTAGAAAATAGTAATATATTATATTGTGTAATGCTTTTTTTTTAAATAGTTAATAATAATATATAATATTATATGGTATACTATACATACTTTATTATTTAAAAATCATTGCCAACTTAATTTGAAAATAACTAAAATGGCTTTGGTCGAAACGGGTATCTGGGCGAAACGGTAAAGGTTGATTTTGAGCGAAACGGGTGCCGCCCATAATATATATATAACAAAATTATAAAATATTAGAATAGCGAATATATACGAAGCAGATGTCAATCAAGCCGATTCATCAAAATTATAACGACTTACATTAAGGCGATGTCTGCGACGAGAGCCTGGCTATTCGATTCACTTCGCTTATTGTCGTTGTCGTAGCTAACAATCAGTATTTTACCTTTTTTTTT